AAAAAAAAAAAAAAAAAAAAAAAAAAACCAAACAAATCAGCAATTGGTAATCAAATAATAATTTACCCAACCCAGTGAAGGTAAATAATTGTTCCAACAAAAAGGTGAAACTGTGAAGGAATATTTCTGCCTCCTACATTTATACTTCATCTGTTACAGAAAAGGTTACATTTTTAGATTCATGACTTTATGTGACCACTACACATCTTGGACCTTTATAAATGAAGGATTCATGATTGTAACTTTTAAACAAACTAATCGTTTTCAAAACATGTAACATGTAAAATAAATAAAATGTGCACAATCTGACCCGGTACACAGCTGCAGCACAACTTAAGGCCCTTATGAACTTTTAGTCAGACTTTGAAGACAATTAAAAAATGATTCGAGCCTCTTTTGGACAAATACAWATTGCAATGCTAACGATTAGATCAAGTATTTAATATATAGAAGTTATTTAGTCATTAAAAAAATGTTGCAAGTTAGTATAAGTTGTCTAAACCGTTATAGTGTGACAGAGCCTTTAGAAATGGCTAAATGGTCACAAAGCTTTATCCAATCAGAGCGACTTCCCTGATGGTTTTAACCAAGACAGCTATGGAAGGGTTGCATGATATTGCAAAATTGTGACACAAACATTAGTTTTGATAAACCCATAACATCTGATTTTACCATGCTCTTAACTCTCACTCTCTGGTTGTGGTAGGGGTCATTTAATAGAAATAAATAAATAAAAGACAGGTCAATAACTCCAGAAACATAGACAAGTTCTGTTAATGACACTTGATCTTCATATGCCGACATGTCAACAATACAAGTTATTGTTGACATTAYTCTGCAATATAAAATGTGCTGTTATAAATCAATGATAATGTATATATTACATYAGAAAACGTGGAAAACTACTGCCTCAAGGCTTCATTATGGAAGMAAATATAAATGATGGTTCAACGTCTTTACATATACAAGCTTTAATGCCTAATTCATGCCTATAAATGTTAACTACTAATAATAGTGAGAGYAGAAAAACCTGATTGTTGACTTTTACACCGTCAGCTCACTGCTAGTGTGGCTGCTAGCGTAACTGCTACTTACGTTCCCCAACTAGCAGTATCCTCACGTCCTTTCTCATGTTTAGGCTCGTTTCCCTCGACAGACAGGACGATGTTTATCGTCTCATGTAGTCCTCTGAAGCTGTGCTCCTTCTCCAGCAGCAAACCTCGGGCCCTCCCGCCGCTGACACACTCCTTGTAGGACAAAACGGACGGACAGTTTCCGGCGCTCCCCTAKCCTTTCTCTGCGTTTTTCTTCAAACTTCAGCTTTTATGTTCGGCAGAAATACGATTTAAAAACCAGTGTTCTCACTTTACGTTTGTATTTTCATATTAATGACAATCATTTCGGCGCCAGCAGATCTTTTCGCAGTGGACGTTTCAAGCGCATGCTCAGCAAGCACCGGTTTTCTACGGCAAGCTGCCCAGGACAAAAATGACCAAAACCAAGAAATAAAAAATACCGTGCTGCCATCTGGCGACGAAAGGAAGTAGTGCACTTAATAAAAACTAGAAAGAAAAAAATTACTATTAAAAACAAGTGACAAAATTCATTATTTAAGTAGAAGTATAGATACTAGGGTTTAAAATACTTTTTTGGAAGTATAAGTATAAACT